AGCTCACATTTTCTGGATAGATTAGATACCAAACCTGTTTTGCAGAAGACACAACATCCTTCACATTGCATCACTGAGCGAGCATCTGTTACTATAGCGCCTGGCTGTTATTTCCTAGATGAACAGGGAACTGCCAAGTGAACTCACCCACCCAGGCCATTTAATTTCAACATCCATTTTTTAAAAGGCAGGAAGCTGGCAAATGGAAAGAAATGCCAGCAGAGCTCAAAGCCTCCCTGTCACCTCAGGGCCTGATCCTGTAAAAGACCAATATTTCCTGTGAAAGGCTGAGTGCTCGCGTGCTTTGTTAAGCTTTTTCTGACAGCCGGGAGAGCCTCAGCAGGCAGCAGAGCTGCTCTCCTTACACAGAAAATGGGGACATCCACTGCTCATCTACTGAAGACTTTTACTGTGGTTCAGATTATTTTATTTCTTTTTTTTTTTAAAAGAGGTGCAGAAACTCTTTCTTCCACAGTTTCTTCAACCCACAGCTTATTTTGCACCGAGCTGAGCTCAATAAAACTCCACTGCCTACAAACAGTGTTTCAGTTGCTCAGCTGTCTAAAGACTTGCTCTCAAGACTGTTTTTCCTTGTCTGCAGAGAGTAGAAAAAGGAGTAGCAAAGTCCTAAATGAACAAAGGTGTGAACATCTGAAAAAGCAGCAACAGCCTCAAAACTGTCAACAAAACAGATAAATCTCACACCACCCAGCTTCCCACGCTCACCACGGGCCCTCCCTCTCACGTACAGTGTGACAGTCTATTTGCAGGACTACAGGGAATGCCCGGATAGGTGAGGAAAAAAATTCAATCCTAAACTTGAAAGGGAAGAAGCTGCCTGGCTCTAGAGAAAGAAAAGCTACTTCTCAATTTACTGATAATCTGACACCGCGGCTGGGATCCATCTCACTCGCCTTTCTCTTCAGGAAATACCTTGCCTAATACATGTTAGAATCACATTTGCTTATTTCTCCACCAATGTAACCCAGTTTTGGCACCTTGTTACTCTGAGTGGGTTTCATCTCACCTGACTTAAGACACATGCGACACAGAGTTATTAACCTTGGGCTCCCCTTGTCGTTAAAGTGAACAGAAAGAAGCCCTTTTAGGGAGAGAGATTGTTCTGACCCATTTTAGATCTCTAAAATGAAATAAATCCTGCCCATACTGTCTGCAGTGACTAGTTCTCTGTTGCTTTACAGGCTGTTGAGAGTAACAAACTCCATTATATACCTACATGAAATATATCTACATGAAAAGAGATAAATTCCCACCGTAACAGACAAGCAACGTGTCCAAATTGCCCTGCCTGTGTAGCAGCTGTTTCCAAAACACCATCCCATGGTTTTACAGGTGAATTTATGCTTAAGTCCTAATAGTATCAGTCTTAATAGTCTTATTTACAGCCTTATTAAATATTTTGCAGCAGTGGTGCTTTGCAACAGAGATCCTGGCAATCTACAAAAGACTTGAAGACTGTTGATCATCTCCTCATCTTTCCTGGGTGTTGTTTCAACTGGATGTTAACCCTTCTGGGAGCTACCTTTGGACTTTAAGGACAGCCCTCGGAAAGTAGCTTTACAGAAGACCAGAGGCTAGACGCAAACAGATAGCAACATGTGGGAGAAAATGCAGTCTCAAGACGCTAAGACTCACACTGGATCTTTTTAAAAACATCATTTTCTGGCCACTGGACAACGTCAGATATTCAAACACCAAAAGAAACCAACTTAAAAATATGTGCCTACAATAAAGGAATATTCATATCAAACCCAAGGTATATGCCTCCAGCCAGCTCTGAAGGGTGTCAGCAGAAGTCATGACCCTCTTTTATGCACCACAAGACACAGGTTGCTGTGTGAATTAGCCTGTTGTCTTCCCACCCTGCGTAGGATGCTGGGTCTGGGTTTCTCACTGCAGACTGCGTATTGTGTAAATCAATTACAGCAAACTCCAACAACATTTAGAAGGAAACAAGAGCATGAATCACATACAAAAGTTATAAAGTACTCACCAGGTCGCCTGTCCCAGGTTTTTCCATAATAACTGGGGGGAGCAGTAACCCTGCAGGAGAAGTAGGGTCTGGGTTGAGTGCCCCGGTGCCTCCTCCTATCAGGGAAACCACACCATTGCAATCCACTGAGCTGTTCCTTTTGCCCGTCTGGGTGTAGTTGGGAGTAGGAGGGTGAGAACTATGGCTCACTTGACTTTGCACGCTCGGACGCCTCCCAGATCTTGGAATTAAGAGAGAGCCCCGGTGGCTTTCATTTTCCCCAGCAGTGCTGATCTCATCATCGGCAAAATCTGTTTCGGAGCCAGTGTCTCTACCACGGAGTCGGAAACTGAATATGCTTCCGTGGCTGGTTCTGCGCTTCACCAAGTTTGCACTGGGACCATAACTAATGCCAAGGAGAGTCTAGAAACCCCCAGAAAGGAAAAAGGGGAAAGAGAAACAACATTTTGCAACATGTTTTCAGGAGCGAGGAAGGTCTGGGGAGAGCAGTAAGTTCCATTTTAAATCAAGTGGTTCAGAGAAAGACTTAATTACGCCTACTCAACCTTCGCAAAGTTAAGAGGTTGAATAGTCATCCCTAGCCATTAGGTATTTGTCTAGTACTTGACAGTTAAAGATGTACTGAAATAGGAAGGGTCAAGGTGGCATTCGCCTCGCAGCGTGATGCTCCCTTTGCTTCTACTCCCTCCCCAACTGGTAGGTGCCAACAGACCTGGGAAGGCAGCACAAGGAGTGGAAGACAGGAGCAAGGAAGGGGATCCAGCTCCAGTTTACTGCATTATCACACATCTTCGTAACAGCGAGGGAAGGAACGTTGCAGTGGGAGAAGAAGAGATAAAGAAACAGGGCAGGAAATGAACTGCAGGGAAAATGAGAAGAAGAGGGAAGAAGAAGAAGCAGAATACGACGGAAGAAGGTGATAAAGGAAAAAAAACAAACGGAAGAAGAGATAAAGAAACAGGGCAGGAAATGAACTGCAGGGAAAATGAGAAGAAGAGGGAAGAAGAAGAAGCAGAATACGACGGAAGAAGGTGATAAAGGAAAAAAAAAAAACAACCAAAACAACAAAAGCAAGAGCAAGAAGAGGGATATGGTTTCTTAGTTTGTAGAATGATTATCCCAATGCACATGGCTGCTTTAAGGGGTAGGTAACAGAAGTCTCTCTTATACCCAAATATCAGCCTTGACGATCCACTCTGACATCGGCTCGTGAGAGTGCAACTCTGACAGAGCAACTCTGATAGAGCATCAGCAAGACATAGCCAAGCACTAAGCACACCTAAGCCCTGACAGAGTAAAAAGGATGTTCACAAAATGCATAAGGAATTCAAGTCTCTCCCCTTCCCTTGTATCTGGAGAGGAAATCATTGGAATAAGAGCATTTAGGCAGAACATACTTTTGATATTATGGCCTGTACAGAATTTTCAGCTTCTTCAGAACTTTCTCATGAGCCAAGTACATATGAAGAGAGGTCAGATCTCCACAGCATCCACAAACCAGACAAACCAAATGAAGCAAGCCTGATTTAATTTCGCACCAGCATCCACAAACCAGACAAACCAAATGAAGCCTGATTTAATTTCGCACCGTAGCTCACACCACTGAGTTACGTAATGATGCTATTTTGTGACACTGGTAAAAGGAAGAGTACAAAAACCAGGCCCCTTCTGACTAAAAACAGCCCATCTGGATTGCTACCAAATTTTAACTGGTCAAAAATCCATGCCTGGGTTTCCATGGCAGAGTCATTGAGACTGATTTCTGATGGCAACACACTTCCAGCTGCTCAGATTGCATCTGAATGATGACTCAGCCTTACTCCCTCCAACCATGCCAGACACAGCCTTGCAGAGAAGATTTACTATAAGCTTTGAAATGTCTCTCCCATGTTTCTCATGCATATGACATCCAGGGGTGAAAAGTGAAAACAAGATATATTAATCTCAGAAAAAAACTGGCAATGAACAGCTCCAATCCACGGTCATTCTGGTACGTGGTGTCTTGAAACCCATCCAGAATGAAGCTAAAGAGCAATTCTAGCTTTAACAAAGGTATAATTTGTAACGCAACCCACTCCACCAATGAGACAACAAAAACTATTAGATTAAAAAAATGCATGTCATTGACAGAAATCCAGCTCTGTGTAAATTTTGTGAGCTGGGGAGTCATTAATTGGTCACATTTACTTACATCACTTGCATATTTTCTATGAGCTTTTTATGGCTGCCAAATATCCCTAAATTCACTGACAACAAAATATAAAGAGACTTAGCCCATTACATGGCTATTCAAAAAAACAAAATAAACTGATTTAAACTTTGCCCTCAGTTAAGCAAAGACAAATTATCTAAAGCTATTTATGGTCATTTGATACATACAGCATGTGCAGATTCATATTCATGCATGTCAGTAACATTTACATAAAACCCTATTTAACAACAGTCTCTCTCTATTTTCTTCCCTGCAACAGAAAGTAGAAACATGTGCCACAAAGTTTTGACTTGAAGGCAACTAGCAAAGGAATATAAAAATGTTAATAACATCTTTGTATTGCATTTATAAAAAGCCCTCAGAGACAAGTTTCCTCCTATTCTCCTCCTCTCTTTTCATTTTAAGCTTTGCAGGTTTCTTCTAAGAAATTTTTTATCTCTAGTAGGGATAGGATAGATATAATCAGATGAATAAAATTAAAGTAAGAAAATAAACCAGATTGTGGGTAATCTTGAAGCAAAAAAAAAGCAAATAAAAATTGAAAATAAATAGATTCATAAGAATGTTTAATGGGCATTTTTAATTAATTTGAAAAGAAAGTGGTAATATGTTTCCTTCCACTGTTCTGAAACAGGTTATCTGCAGGTCAGTTATTATATTAAATATCTAATTCTTCACTTCAGCTGAAAATTTCAGCTTTAATTGTCTATTCAGAGCCTGGTCTATTCTGCAAAGTGCAGTGTGGAAGAAGTGATGTTTCAGAGCATGGCTTACCATTCTCCTCTGACCATCGTCGTAGTCACACTTGGGATTCCTTTGGTCTTCCCCATACTCTTCTGCCCCCAAAGATTTCTTTTTCTTTCGCTTATTTCTTCTTTCCTTGGCATTTTTGGATGCTAAAGGTGACATTTCCAACGAACTAAGTGACATTGAATCAATTCCTTTAGCCGCTAATGCCTAAAGCAGAAGAAGGTGTAAAATTTATTATTTGAGTTAAGGATCTCAGTGAGGACTAATAATTACTCTGCTCAGCAATTATTTTTTATTTTAAGTTTTAAGGTTGTATAGGAGGTAAGTTTAAAATTTCAGGTGGTGAGTAATCGTAAAAGTATCTCACATGGTGGGAACTGGTCTTAACCTGTCTCTAACCTCTACGTTTAGCAACAGGAAAATAAACAAGTGAGACATGTTCTCAGTACAAATTCACACATGCAGGTTGGCCACCCAGATCCTACGATGGAGCATTTGGAATGGCTGTATAAAGCAATGCGATCTGTGTAGAGCTCACACACAAGATAGTTTGACATTTCACAAGAGGAGCAGCCTGTGTGCACACACCTGCAGGTGGACACTCCGCACACATCTCAGGAGGAACATTTCTAGTGCCAGTTAACAAAAAACATATAAATCTCATGTTGAGGGACCACAGACTTCAGCCCCTTGGACCAGGAGAGCTGGACAGGAGGGCAGCCAAGCCGGCTGCTGTGATTTTTTCTGCCCTGTCACAGCGGGATGTGACGAACAGCAGGCAATTCAGCTGGCACGTCTTTGTAAACACCTATCCCTTGCACAGGCAGCTATGAGGAGGGATGCAAAGAGAAAAAAACCATGGGCTTAAGCGGAGATAAAGCGGACTTTGCTTCGCCGTGTGCTTCAGCGCTGGGCTGGCTCTCTGGTGGGGTGGCTGCAGGAGCTGGCTGATAATGGACCAACTGCTGGAAACCCAGCAGAAGCTGAACGTGAAAGCCTGAGAGCACACAAAGCCACAGCCTTGGAAGTAAATGAGCAGCCAGGAGGAAGAATCATCGATAGGAGCAGGGAGGAAGGGGCAGCCCACGCCAGCGCACCGGGTCCCCATCCCCGCTGCGGGCAGGAGGAGCGAGGGGGCTCCGAGCACAAAGCACAGGGTCAGGTTTGGAGTTGGCCTGGAGACAGGCCCATTTGCAGAGCCCCCAGCCGAAATACATAGAGTGTAATACCAAAAAAAAAAAAAAAAAAAAAAAAGAAAAGCCTCTCCAGAAAAAAAAAAAAAAAAAAGAGAAAAAAGAAGAAAAGCCTCTCCAGGAACAGGAGAAATGGATGAATCCTCAGCGCTATTGTCTGTAAGCCACTAGAATCAAACAGGCAATCAGCTCTCCACAGCAAAATACTCCCTTCCTCCCACAGGCATCAGTCCAAGGAAAGTGAAGGCACTTAACAGTCGTGTAAAGAATCAATCATGTATTTCAAGGGGTAGCGGCAGCTCTATCAAGCTGAGAGCACAACAAAACTTAATTCCTGTGGGAAATATCTTTCATGAGCAAGCTGCTTAGAGCAGAGAGGAGGAGGGCTCAGACACCAGTCTAGGCTGTTCTGTTGTGTTTTTTTTTTCTCCCCGAGTCAATTGATTTAATTGCTACGCTGAAGTGCTTTCTCTTCATAAAGATTCAGCAAGTCTTTTGGTGTTAAGTTCAGGTTTAGGAATGTGTTAGACCAATTGTGCAAATTGACTGATAGTCCCCAAGCAGGCCTATCAATTATATTTGTGCTCTCTTTATACTGCTCAGTTTAAAAGATGGTCTGAAGATTTTCGTCGTCATATTTTATTGATCTAGAAAATATTGTTTGTTGTGCTGTGTTTGTTGTTCTCTTAATGCAAAATAAGCTAATTTTAAGTTTCTTAGCATTTTCTTACCTATTGCTTGGGTTGAAATAATCTGTCCTGCATACTTTTTTCAGTTGTTGAAAAAGGATTTGGATTAAATTGTTTCTCAGGGCATGGAGGATGTCCCCATGTCCTGCCTATCTACCCTTTCTGCTTGGGTGTCCTGCCCCTCAGGCACTGCAAGCCATAACCCTCCACGCTGGCTCCCAGGACAAGAAAGGAGCTTGGGACCAGGCACATATGGGATAGGTGATGGGTGAAGGGTGGGAGAAAAGCCTAGCTCATATGAGCCTTGGCATGGGTATTATGGACCACAAGAACGTAGCGGTACGGTGAGAAAGTCAGAACAAAAATATTGATGAAGGCTTGGAGAGCAAGATTAAAACTGAGTAGCTCTGACTGGGGCAAGACACTCGAGAAGGACATCTGAAGGCTACACGGTGCAGCCACCCAATTCACTTTCCTGAGCCTCTTTTTCCAGATGTCTAATTTGAAATGTTGGGGGTTGATTTCCAGAATGACTGGGTTTCACTGATGAACACGATGGACTCCAATTGCTCTGCTCCTAAGTTTCCTTTCTATAAGATTAAGGTAATTCTCCAGGAGTACTGCAAATACAAATGAGTTTTTTTGAAGCACACGGAGTCTAAGTAGTGACAAGAGGCACTGAAAAACCTCTGAGGACGTTAGTCATTTTTGTCTTTGAAGCAATCTTTGAATGCCTGAGTCGGGAAGTCTGCCCGAGGTGGCCTAAGGCTACAGAACAAATGATGAGAAAGCGAAGAGCTGCGCTTGAGTCATGCACTGTCCACCCTTTGTACTGAACAGGGCACAGGAAAAATGAGACATGGCTGGCTGAAGAAAAGACTATGTTATAAAGCATATAGACAAATGGCAACAATTTAGGTTTTCATGAGAAACCTTCATTTTGACACATTCTGACTTTCAGGGCTTAATGTTCCTTTTTTGTGTGTGTGTGTACATACAGCTTAACTAAAATCAAAGTGTTCAAAAGGAAATTCTTAAATATCTTTAATTATAGCTGGGGCACCAAAGTTGACTCTTATTAGGAAGAGCTCAGCTGGAGTCAAAATACATGAAAATTTGTATAAAATAGGTACAAGTTGGAGCTCAGTTTGCTCCCTTAGGTTATGGCAGAAAGTTACTCTTTTTAAAATGCCTGTACACGGACTAAATTGCATTTACCTATTACTTAAACCAGCAAAGAGGATCTTTAAAAGGACTTAAACGATGTATAAGCCTCTACTAGCACTTTGTCAAGGGTGAATTTTATTTTCTATTTTCTTTCCAAGGATTTGAATGGGCTTTGAATTAGACCCTGAAGCCAGATGTACCCGAAAGAAAATTATGTATATTAGTTTATATTGTGTATCAAGGATTTATTTCTCTCAACTACAGTGCTACGTGTGATTTCAGACTAATTTCAGACTAATTTTCTTATTGTCTTCTTGTTCATAGCACCTAAAATGTTCTCTTTGGCTGTTTAATAAAGGCTTTCTACCCCACACAAACCACAGGCAAATTAACTAGTGCTATTAAGGCTATATGGCTACATCCAGCATTTGGCCTCCCTGTTTTGTTTAAATTTACGACATAACATTAAATCCATATCCTTTGTATAATTTGCAAATCTTAACCTCAAGATCTGCTCGTTTACTTGTTCAGGAATGAAGCTGCATGTGCAACAAACAGGTTATCCTACATCTTTATCTTCTTTATTAGAGAGTTGGATATTCATGGCAATTTGAATAAGACAGTGAGAAAATGAACACAAGCTGAAGTGGTGGTGGAATAATGTTCAGCTGGGCTACCAAATAGCTGTTTTGTGCTCAAATGCAGATGTAGTTATGTCATCATTAAAATGTCATACATGCCAACCCATATAATTTCCTCTGCTGCCATATGTGGTACAGTTAAACCAGCACAACTCTGGATATGTAAATCCTAAATGGCCCAAATCCTAATAGGAAGAGTCACCATTTTTCTTTTAGAAAGTATTGTAATAACTCTGTCCAGGACAATAAATATTAGGCTGCTTTCAAGCAAACTCTTACTTTGATTATGCCGTAGACGTAAAATAAAGAGAACATGAATTTCAAAGTACCATCTGTTCAAGTTACCCAAGGCTACTCATGTCACATAGTTTACTGACCTCCTGCTCTTTCTTTAACATCTCCATGGCTTCCCGAAACTTTCTTTCCTTCTCCTCTGTTTCAGCAATAGTGGCTTGGTTCTGCTCTTCATACGCCATGGCCACGACAGCCAGAATAAGGTTGACCAGATAAAATGAGCCCAGAAAGATGACCAGCATAAAAAAAAGCATGTAGATCTTCCCAGCAGATCTGAGAGTCTGTAAGCATGAAAATAAAATCACTAACACTTGTTTACAATGTTTTTTAAAAGGAAAAAGAAATTAATTATTTTTTTAAAAAAACTTAGATTTACAATATAATTGAATTCAGCCTTTGTTACTAGCCCAGAGTCCTTTTGACAACAAACAACAACCACGTGCAAGGAAATAATCTTCACACAAATAAATTTTTATACCTTGCTCAAAAATTGCGTGCCTTGCAGTAGAATTCATTTTTAAAAGAAGAATGCTTTCCTTCTTTACCAAGCATCTCTGCTGGTTTTCTTTGAGAATGGATAATCTTATAATCAGCTGCAGTGAAAGCTTCCCCCACACAACTCAATCTGTTTTTGTCCAGTGCATAGAAACTTTCCAAGCAGATTCATACTGTATCCCTTCAGATGTCTACAGTCTAGGTCCTTTACAAGCAGTGGGGAGAAAAAGATACTAGAAGTATCTTTAACACCTCCATGGCTTCCCGAAACTTTCTTTCCTTCTCCTCTGTTTCAGCAATAGTGGCTTGGTTTTGGCAATTTTGAGATGCAGAAGTTAATCTTCAGTGGCTTCATGCACAGAGCATGTAATTCAATACCAAACTATCACATCTAATTTTTCAGAGTTTGCTTTCATTTCAGGAAATGCATGCTAAAATGAGCATTTACTAGCAGACCACCTTGCATGCAACTGTAAGTTGACTCTGGCTCTCAGGGGTCCATGATGAAAACTTTGCAGGTTTGCAGCAAGGAAAACTGAAAGGTACTTGTTAGTCTTGCCATCTGCTGAATTTGCCTTCATTATCATGCCTTGCAAAACCAGATATGTCAAGTATACAGGCGTTTCTCTCGTCCTTTTTTTGAGCTAGACTCAAAGATTAGTTCATGTTACATGAGCCACCAAAAAAATCATTAAATGGTGACTTGATGACCTTTCAAAGTGGTGAACTTCGTTTAGATTCAGGTAAATTACCCAGTGGATATTTAACTGTAACAAGATGCCGTGTTTGGTTCATATTTTTTAAAGCAATGAAACAGTCTCATACCTGTTGATAGAGACGTTCCCAATAATCTTGAGTCATAAGACGGAATAGAGAGAGAAAGGCCCAGCCAAAAGTATCAAAGCTTGTGTAGCCATGGTCAGGATTCTCCCCAGCCTTCAGACATATGTATCCTTCAGGACATGTGCTGCAAAACATGAAAGGCAATACATTAAATGCATCACGGATGGCTTCAGCATGGAGAAACTGATTTCCAAGGAAACATATTGAATGTGCCTGGTTAAGAGCACAGACCCTCAAAGGTAAATTCCTTCAATGGGTGAAAATGCAGGAGACAGGTGGATGCTAACTTCATAACACCAAAGATCTTTGCAATCTTATTTTTCCTCCAAAAGGGTAAACTGGGAAATGGCAACCATAGCTCTAGCTGCAATGGCAAATGGGTGCTCAGCATTTCAGATATTTGGAACAGACTGGAACTAGGTGCCCGACCAGGACTTTAGTGCTTAAATATGATTTCTCTTGGCACTTATTCCTAATTAAGGATGATACACTTGGTGTCTTTTATTACAGTTGTGGGTAATACTGTGATGGTGAACCTGCTTTTCCGGTTACGTAGCCTGACACTGGCTGGATGACATCAGTGTGTGCCATCCGAGCACCTTCCTGATTGCCTACTGCGCCTGACCTCGCACTCACCCCCTGCAAGGACTGAATCTTTAATCTAAGAAACCCAGCCCTTTGTTCCACTCACTGCCATAGTCTGGGGTCATGACATTTTTTTCGTTTCTGCCAGGAAAATGTTTTCCTTTTGTGTCTTGCAGGTCCATGTATTAAATGGCAGGCAGACAGCATGAATTTCACTGGCTCTCATTAAACTTTGAGACTCTCTACAATCATTTTCTAGCCCCATAGGCCAGAAAACTGTATGTGAGTACTCACTATGTAAGTACTGAATCTCATCATCAGGTGAAACCCAAGGTAGAAGAGATCCCATGTCAGTGGGCCTCCCTCTCTCCCGGAATGGTGTGATATGATTAGTGAAAATATCCCACATACCTCTTGCATATCACAAGCTGCTTTCCAAATATAAGACATGCCCCATCAGAAACTGAAGACACAGAACAATATGCAAAGACTTACTGCTATACGTGTCATAGGAAGAGAATATGAGGTCAAGGATGTTGCCAGTGTCCTGGAGCCTTACAGTTTTTGGGAATTTATTAGGTGGGAACCATCTAACTATAAGGAGGTGCGGATCTCAGCAGAACTGGCGGTAGTGCCAGATATCTCTGTTCTCCTCATGCTTCAGATTGAGATGTACCTGTTATGATTTGGTGCAAATTCTAGCTGACACAACTAGGGATGGTTGGAACAAGAGGGATTGTGAAAGCCCTTTGTCTGGGATCAGAGTCATTGAAGGAGACCAACTTCCAGGCAGTGTTCTCATAATAGAGCAATACCCTCCATCCTGGCAGACAGTGAGCTTGATGTTCTGCCTCTCAGATGGAGGAATCAACATTTTTCTGCCTTTGGATAGGATGATTATTGTATTATCCAGCCATTTTAGCCACTTCACCAGTCATGTCCAAATACACACACTTTTAGCTTTTTTTCTCCCAGCAAAAACCCATAGAGTCTTTCAACCACCACTATTTTATATCAAACCAGAATACTGCCACAAATCAAAATGCAAAGCAGTAATAAATATAATGAAAAGTAATTTTTAAAATGCCACACAAAAAATAAACTGACTCCTGAGAAAGCAGAGTATGTCTCAGTATAAAAATCAAGGATTTTTTTTTTTTCTAAATATCAGTTTTTTACTGATACAAATCAAATCTCTGCAGCACAGGATAGCAACCCTGTATTGAATGTGGAGACGAGAATACATTGCTATAGATTTTGAAGTTATACAAATCTATGGTGTCAGCCACCAACATTAGACATTCAGCAACAATTTAAGAAGCTTAATTTAATATCATTAGTCAAGCACAAATTCTTAAGTAAGTCCGCTTTAAACACTGAAAAAAGGAGTGCTGAAGCATTGCAAAATGCGTGCATATCCTTGTGTGCATTAGTCTTCAGAAAAAGCAATAAAAAATGAAAAAGGACAGTTGATGTTTAATGAATTAAATTGAACACAAAGGTGAGAATATAGTAAGTGATTCTGTCACCTTAGGTAGACCCAAATTAGTTTATATCAGTTGAGAATTTAGATGATAGTAACTACATCTCACAAAGAAAGAAAAAGAAAGAAGCTTCTAGTTTTTTCCTTACCAGCCTAGAAATGCCTCCTTTGCCTTTCCTACTTTGACTACCTATTGTTTCCTGGTAAAAGCCACATTTGAATAAAAATTACACTAACATTACTGAGCTAGAAGAGAACAAAATGCAGAAATCTCAGGTTTTTTCCCCTAAAATATGCAAATGCATACTGAATCTCTCTTGTATATCCATGTCCTTTTTTGAGGCAGCCTTTTCATTAAATCTCCTCTCTCCCAAAGGCACCATCTGCTGTCACTCTCTGCCATAGAGACATGAGATTTCTGCTTCTGATCTGCTGCTGCAGGCAGCCTCCATTGCCCATGATGTGCTGCTGACACTTTTCATGGACTCTGAGAAGTGGATCCTCTGGGTTCCTGAGAAGGAAACCCTTTCTCCTCGCTTGTGCTAAGACATTGCGTCCAGACAGGGCATGAAAATTTTTGTAAAGCTCATTACTTTTGCCATGAGAAAATGACTACATTCACACACTGTGCTTGGCTGAAAACTAAGTGATCATGTCCAGAGGTGGCCAACCTTTCCCTAGTCTTCCATGAAAGACCAGTCCCAAGTGGTTCCATTGAACTGGTCTCATCACTCATATTTTAACGATGTTACTAAGGGCTAATACATCTGAATACAGCTGTGAGAAACCTGATGCTGACTACTCTAGCAGTGAATTTAAGCTTAGGCAGGGCAGGTGGTTGGAAATTAGGTTTCATCTAGAATAAACTGCCTAAAATTTTAGGCAAAATGGAAGTTTTGCCAGTAATTTCAATGAGAGAAAGACTTTCCTCTTAATCTCTTCACCATTTTGAACAAGAGATTCTGAAAGAAAGGAAACATTAGGAGCATTGCACTTAAATGTATTTTCATAGGAACCTCTCAGCACCACCAGATTAAAGGCTACAAAGTCACTCAGGTTCACTGCCAATGATGCTTCTTGGGGAAAGTCTTTTTTGATGCTGAACAACTTTTGAGCATCTACTCACAGCAGTTTACCACAACTACTTGGAAAGCCCTAGGGCACAGAGATGCAACTCCTCTGACTGAAAGTAAGCAATGGTTCCTCAGACTTATATTTTCTGTTTATAATACAGGTAGCATTTTTTTCATGTTTCATTCTGTCTTTATGTGTCTCTCAAACCTTTTCCACTCAGCAATAGATTGCTGGTGTGAAAAGATCTGTCTGACTTCACAGTGTGTGTACATGGTTCTCTAATATTATGTTCAGGTGTAAGAGCATTCAAAAAGGGTGTCATCGCCACAAAAAGCATGAACTCCAGCTCAGAAATGCTATTAATGTTAGTTCAAATCCTTCTTATAGAGGCTAGACACTTGAGACAAAATATCTTACTCCTTATTCTTGCTCACCCTCTTTTGTAGCTGACAGAGTGCTAACCCACGGGGTGTGGGAACGTGTTAAAAACACTGAGAGGAAAACAAAATGCTGTTTCCCATAAAAACACTCTACAGAAATTTAGGTGTAAGATTCTCACATGAGAATATTATTGTGCAACTGACACCATTTCCTCTGAAGATTTTTTTTTAAGGAGTCTTGAGATTTTGCTGAAGCATTTTAGATGTATAATATTAAGCATTCCCCTTCAGATTTTTTAGCAAACTCTTCAGTTTCTTTTACCTCGGGGAAGCATTTCACAGGATTGCACTCTCTGATGCACAGGGATGGGCAACAACAACAAGCTACATAAATATAACATCCTCCACAGGAGCCTCACAGGATGCTGTTCAATTGATCACAGTAAAATTAGTGTCATTGATCCAGAAAAGTGAAAAGCATCAGTCTACCTACCTATCCATCAGGCTGTAATCACCATTGTAAACTGGCATTGGCACAGGAAATTAAAGAACATTTGAAACAGCTTTGTTTTAAATAACACAGATTGGGAATGCCAGAGAGTTGTAGCTGAGGGGCATAATTACAAAATGCTCTGGCTCGAGAGTTTAATCTGGGCAAGCCAAGTAACCTGCTGATCCAGACTGTGGTAGCCAATAGGGTTGTGCAATAAAAGAAGATTTGTAAAGCAACCATGTGTTGGATTGTAACATTCAGACCCTGAAAATACGGGGAGGGTTGTCCATGTGTTACCAGGAGTTAGCATCAAACAGCTGCTAATGTCAGCTATGATGTCTGGTTTAGGTTGCAAAGACACACACTATGGCTTGCTATACCAAAGTGCTTATGAAAGAAGCAATAATGGAAGACAAAGTGCATACCACAGACACACCAAAAATTAAAAAAACAAAACCATGTTGTGGTAAGGGCCTCTTAGTGTTCCTGCTTAGGTCACAGTTTAAGCCCAAGAGTGCTGAACTGTTTAGAACTGATGTCTTCAACACGTGGGTAATTCCAGAGGAATGGAAACCACCCTGGTGAGCATGGTGGGGTTTCAAAGCCTGGCAGGTCATGTGGTGCCCATGGCCTCCAAGGCTGCTTGGTGTGCACAGTACACTTTTCCTCAATCTGCCTCTTCATGATAAAGTCCTTAGTCCACAAAGGAGAGGCTTATATCTCCTTTAGGTCACAGGCCTGAGTGTTTGTCTCTGCACTTTCCATGTTTTCTCATTGTCTTGGCTTTGAGGGAGGAAATCAGCAGCCAAAGAAGCGGAGCATGCTGTGCAGTGGTGGGGCAGGAACAGATAAATATCCTGAGACTAACATTTGCTCCTACCTGACAAGATAAAACTACCCATCCTGAAACAGGGCAGTACTTTTAAAAATATATACAGTAAGGGCAACAGGGCCTGTAGGAGAAAGGCGCTGAAAAGCAGCAGCACCCCAGCAAAAGCTGGGCATTGCTGTCAGTGGGTGCTCAGTCACTCTCCTTCCTCTGCTCTTTGTTGTTTTGTTATATTAAAGACCAATCATGGCTAGAGATTAATGGGGAACTTAGAGTTCCC